AGTATTGAATAGTATTCCATTGTTTTTATATACATGGGTAAATAATTGTTTTATTTACCCATTTACTAACCAAGGGGCATCTTCATTGCTTTTGAGTTTTGGCAATTATAAAACTGCTATGAACATCCATGTGTAGAGTTCTGTGTGGATGTAAGTTTCACTTCAATGGGGTAAATAACAATAAATGCAATTGCTAGATTGTATGGTAAGAGTATGTTTAGTTCTATTGTATAAGAAACCACCAAACTCCTTTCCAAAGTGCCTATATCATTTTGCATTCCCACTAGCAATGCATGAGACTTCCTATTATTCCACATCCTTGCCAGCATTTAGTGTTGTCAGTTTTCCATCCTAATAGATGTGTAGTGGTATGTTATTATTTTAATGTGCATTTCCCTGATGACATAGATTTGGAGTATATTTTCAATTAAGTTTGAAATAAGTTTCAAACTTATTTGCCATTTGTGACGTTTCTGTAAATATCTTTGGAACATTTTTGATAGGGTATTTGTTTAGTTTTATGAGTTCTTTGTATACTTTGGATAACAGTCTTTAATCATATATCTCTTTTGAAGATATTTTCCCCCAGTCTGAGGCTTATATTTTCATTTTCTTAATATTGTCTTTGACTGAGTAGGACTTTTCTTAAAATAAATTATAGATTATCAATTCTTTCATTTACATATTGTGACTTTGATGTTGTATCTAAGAAGTTATCACCAAACCCAAGATTATCTAGGTTTTCTCCTATGTTGTCTTTTTGAAGTTTTATAATTTTGATTTTACATGTGTGTCTTTAATCTATTTTGAGTTAAAAAAATTTTTTTTTTGTAAAGGATGTAAGGTCTTATCAAGATTCAGTTTTTGCATGTGGATGCTTAGTTGTTCCAGCATCATTTGTTGAAAAAATATTTTTGCCTTTGGTCACTTATTAAACGTCAGTTGTCTATGTGGGCCTATTTCTGGACTCTCTATTATGTTCTACTGATTGACTTGTCTCTTCTTTTGAAAATACCATACTGTTGTGATTACCTCATTTGGTTATTCTTTAACATGGAATTTATTATATTTTAGCGCTTATTATTTTAATTTACCTGAAGAGATATTTAGTCATTCTGCTGCAATTAGTATTTTATTAAATCTAAGTCAGAAAGGTAGGCCCCTTGTTATCTATGAAGTTTTCACACACTTCATGTAGTTCTCAGTTTCATGGCTCCATATTTTTTGATTGGCAAGTCAATACTATATAACTTTTTCCTGTTTACCATGGCAAATTGTTTTTAAGTTTTTGTTTTTCCTGATATCATGAAATTAAATGTAGTTCAATTGAAAGAATATCTAAGGATCAAATTAAAATGTAAAATCAATTCTAATTTGTTTAGAAGTTAATTGAATTATTTTTTTCTTGGTTGATAGAGCCATAAGTTGGGGGAAAACTGGCAAATGATCATGGGACTCAGCATTAAATCTGTAAATCAGAATTTATTTTCTTCTTTTTAATAACACACTCTCATATGCAAATATTTTCTATCTTTCAAAACAAAAAAATGACACTATCTAGTTGATCTTTTTATTAGAAGCTACTTTTTATTAAAACAAATATTTCCAAGTACTTTACTCTATTAATAAAAAATAATAGTTATGTTTATTAAGAATCCTATATAATTGAAAGTTAATATGCAAATTGACTGAACAGTGCAACCATCAGTCACTATGACACGTACTGACCACCAGGGAGCAGATACTCAATGCAGGAGTTGCCCCCTGGTGGTCAGTGTGCTCTCACAAGGGGAGTACCTCTCAGCCAGAAGCTAAGCTCATGGCTGGCGAGTACAGCAGCAGTGGCAGGAGCCTCTCCTGCCTCTGAGGCAACACTAAGGAGCAGCAGGTGGACACTCCCTGACGGGTCCCAGGCTGAGAGAGGGTACAGGCTAGGCTGAGGGGATCCCCTTTCCCAGTGCATGAATGCCATGCGCTAGGCCTCTAGTTTATTATATTTGAGATTGTGCTAAGCTTTGTCCTACACAACTTCAAGTACATTTCATAACATCCCATTACCTAATGAGATAAAAGTTATTGTTAACTTCATTTTTTGAGATGAGATAATATATAGGAAAATTTATCTAAGATTACTCACATGTAACAAGTAGTAGACCTGACCTTGTTAAACCAGCTCTGGGCCTGTCATCCAGCCACCTAGAAAGCTTACAAGCCATGGAAAGGAGTTTGATTTTATTTTAAGTGTAATGGTTGATCCCTGGAGGGTGTGAATCATAGAAGTGATATGATTTGGCTCACATTTTTAAAAGATAACACTGGTTGCTGGGTGAAAGATATATGTGTGTGTGGGAGTGGGGGAGGGTAAGCAAGAGAAAATAAAAGGAGGCCAGAGAGATGGTTGTCCAGGCAAGATATGGGGTGGCTGGTGATTGTGGAGATGAAAAGACTAGGTTGAGCTGGGAGGGATGTGTTTTCTAGTCAGAGACCACTGTTTTTACTGCTAAACTATAATTGTGAAGAAGAGAAAGGGATCAATAATTTTTGGTATTAAAAATGTTGATGAGATTGGGAAGACTCTAGATCTAGAAAGAGATAATCTGGGGAAAATCAAGGGTTCTGCTTTGGCTGTGCTATTTTTGGAGATCTCAATTAAGCATCTGGAAAGTTGAGCCTGCATTTCTGGAATGTGTCAGGGCTGGGGATAAGAAGTTAAAAGTCATTGGTATAGAGATAGTACTTACACCTGGAGATTAAATGAACTCACCCAGAGATGAGACAATGTCTTATCTCCCCACGGCACAGTCATCTGGAATAGTCACTATGGATAAATCTCCCTATATAAAATAGTGCATTTAGGTCTTAAATGGACAATAAGTCTGATCTAGGCAGAAGAAGCGTGTCTTGTAAATGATGATATACTCCCAGGCCCTCATTGAGATGCAGCAAAACATCGATTTAAAAAAATCAACCTAGGATACTTCTTTTTCCTCCTCAGATATATATTTTTATTTCAAACCCTTACAATGCAATCAGGACTCTCTTCTTAATGCTTTCCTCCTGCTTCTTATGCACATCACTCATGAAATTTCAAGAGACCTTTGAGGACAATGAAAATCAGATGCTACTATTATTAAGTTAGCAAATGACACACTGCCCACTTGAAATATCATCAGCCCAGTCAAGCCTACTTTCTTCTGGAGGAGGATAAATAGGGACTGAGGTAAAATGGAATCAATTATAATGACCCTGAATTGAGGACAGAAAAAAATGATCTATGATTTATATTAGTTTATTGTAGATGTCAGAAACTAAAATGATATACAGAATATGGTTTTAACGTCTAGAAGTGGCTCAAGCAAAATTTTTATGACTACGAATTCATTCATTCATTCACTTCCTCACTATTCAGCATTTGTTAAGAACTACGTTTTAAACACTCCCTTGCCATCCAAGATAACAAGTATGGGAGCAGGGCAAAGCCTTAGTTAATCAGATGCTTCTACCTAGCACCGTAGTCAGCAAACCGCGGCTCCCAAGCCACATGCGGCTCTTTGGCCCTTTGAGTATGGTTCTTGCACAAAATGCCACAGCCTGGGCGAATCTATTTTGAAGAAGTGACATTAAAAAAAGTTTAAGTTTAAAAAATTTGGCTCTCAAAAGAAATTTCAATTATTGTACTGCTGATATTTGGCTCTGTTGACTAATGAGTTTGCTGACCACTGTCCTAGCACATTGAATATGTAGTAAATAAAGCCATTGGCTTCCTGTTGAAATGGTTCCTGCAAAAAGGCTGTCATTTTACTTGTTCTTACATATTCTCTTATACTATCCTAATTCTTTTTCAGTTTCCAAATCTTGATCTCCAGCCCGCCATTGACTCCATAATCATTTGCTAAATTTCTTATAAATACTTTTCTCTCTTAAGAGAACTAGGGTCAACTCCTGTCATTTGCATACAAGAACTCTGTTTGTCATATGTTTTAATTAGAGAACTTAAAATGGTTAAATCAGACTTTCAAAGACAAAATGTATATTCATCTCAAATGGCTATATATCAAGAATTACCATCCAATTCTTATGTGCAAATTATAGAATGAAGGACATTTTTCACTCCATGAAACCCTTTACTGATTTAAGAAAACTGAAAGGCAAACTCTGCTTAGTACCCAATTATTTCTTAGTTAACTCTATTTTACTAAATCCTAAAATAGAAAATTATCATTTGCTATCCATCTTGCCACAGTTGGAGAACAGACATGTGAGCTGAGGGATGGGGACAAGTAGAAGTAATTGCCATGTCAAGCAAAAGAAATTAGATTCAATGTGTAAGTGCTATTAATAGAAACTCTCCCCAAAACTTTGGGGTTATAAAGCTAAATGCCAAAGAATAAAACATGGAATTGGTTCACTCATCTCCACTCTGATGACTAAGAAATGAGAAAAAAAAAATTGGGAAAATCCATTCACAAGTTCAGAATATGTCTAGTTCTCTCTTTGTCATATCTTCAGGGTAGACTTAGGGCTTGAAAAACCGAGATGATAACAAGTCATTCTAAAGTGTGCAGAAATGGAAGCATGATGAAGCATGAAAACCCGTTTTTTTCATTAGCCTTCTGGGTGGAGAAGATAAAGAAAACCAGGAAAACACACACGCACAATAGTACCTTTTTTTCCAGTAGCTGTAGGCACCTTAGGTTTTTGCTCTGAAAACAAATGTCACCAGAAGGCATTTATTTAAGACAGAAAAAGAAGTGTTCTTTATAGCTTTCACTGGAAATTAGAAATAAAAGAAACAAGTTCTATTTTGGAACTTGACCCACATGTTAGAATAACTCTAATCATTGCACATGTTCACACTATAAAAGTCATACACACACACACACATACACACACACTTTTACATCAATTTTGAGGAAGAAGACTATCATGAGCTCATCAATTTGCCCTAAATCACACAACTAAGGAATTCTGAAGCCCAGCTCAGAAGCTGAGCCCTCATAGTGTGGTGATGGATTATGGTGGGTCATTCCCGGTGGGTCAGTCATAGTGTACCCATGCCAGAGTAAATTGTAGTCTCAAACTATTATCCAGCCTCCTTCCTTGTGGGCTGTGAGACTGAAGGGGGTTGTACAGTGTGTGTGTGTGTGTGTGGGGGGAGATGAGTCCTCAGGATTATAAGGATTTAATAAAGTTATGATCATTTTTAGTTTTTATTTATCATAGATAAAGTACTCTGATTAAATATATAGACATTAGTAACTATAGAAATGAACAAATCCAACATTGTCAACATTAAATCCCTATTTCTGGCCTAAGTAACCATATGGATTAATGATTATGCATGACACAGTGTCATGATAAAATGTGCGCCACAGTAAAAATAATTCTGTTCCTAAAAACAACCCCTCAAAAGCCTACTGTTTGGACATGATTATAATCAGGTTGAAAATCATACAAAGAGAAATTTGGTAAAATTGAACAGTGACCATGTCAGGCTGCCAGCATTGGTTTGTCTGCAAAAGTATCAAATTGCCTCTTATTTATTTCCATTACCTACAGTTTATTATGATTCATTCAGCCTCTGTATACGTAAATAGAGTTTTATGTTGTTAACATATATTTCTGAGAAACAAAGTTAGTATATTTACATTTACCTATTATTATGTTGTTATTATTAATACATATTTCTATTATTGTTTTTATCCCAGTTCTCTTTTTCTTTAACCTTATAGCATGGTCAAGTAAGTAAATAAATGGTAGGTAATGGAGCCATGTTTGTCATTGTCACAGAAATAAATTAAAAGTACACAAAAGTGGAAGGTTAGCATCAACTCTGTGCTTCTAGATTTGAATTGGAGATAAGAACATAGGTTCACGTTTATGTGTTAGAACACATTGATATGGATATAATTGTTGTTAGGAAAGCAGGAAGGTGAGGTTGACATAAACTTGAAAACTTGGATGGAAATTGCATGCTCAGTAAAGAGCCGGGAACTGATGTGGTATCTTAAATAACAGAAGTGTGTTTCATTTAGCAGAGCTTTCCCATAAAACTGAGTGGTTATCATGCTGGGAAAGTGTCAGCTTTAAGGTTGGAGAGATTATGGAGGAATGGAGTATTGAGGGGAGAAAATGTTATGACTCAATAATTTTGATGGTCCTGTAAATCCCTAAGGCAATATTTTCTGCAGGGGAAGATATGACAGCCCCTTTCTCCTTTTCCACTTTATCTTAAAATACACTTTATTTTGGATTCAAAAAGTATGATATATGTTCATATACATATAAAAGTATATTTACACATGCATATATGTACATATACATTACATACATATAGACATACATACTCATCTATGAATTCAGTGAGTTCATTTGGTTACACATTCATCTAGGATTCTATTTTGGATAATGAAGAATGTAAACTCTGGGAGTATAGAAACTGCTTGTCTATCTTATTCTCTGATGTATGTCCAATGTCAAGCAAATAATCTTGTAAAGAAAAGATGCTCTAGAGATTTTGACTGACTGAGTGAATGCTATTTATTTTTGGTTTCATAGAGAATCCACTAATTTTCTGAGTTGGACATCAAAACACCAACTTTATCACAGGAGGCCTAATTTTTAAATGCAAACTTATTTGGAAGCAGTAAAAATAAATGCATGTTTTAATTTATGAATTAAAAGAAACTCATAGAAGTAGGGTATGGTGATAAAATATCAGAGTGTTCAACTATTGGGAAAATATTTACAGCTGTTCAGAGTCTGTAGAGGTTGATGTGTTAATTGTCAAGCAAATTTCTTTGTGAACTAAATGATGACTGAAAGCCATTGTCTTTTGCAAATTGACAGTGTGCAAAGCTCAGTTAAATAAAGATATAAACGAAAACCAACTTTTAGAAACCAATATTGAAATGTCACTGATGTCAGTTTAGCACTGGTGCAAGATATTAAAAGCTTCTCAAAACTGACATTTTTAATCAAAGTGATGTTTTTAATAATAGTTCTTCTGTGACTGTGGCAATCACTTGTTATTCAAAATCTATTTTTTGATCCATGTGCATAGGAGCAGCTCTAAATGTCGGCTGCGTAGGCAGCCTATAGTGTGATCTAAAGGTCACCAAAAGGGCTGTGTCCCCTAAGTCCATCCACATAGGCAATAATATGGTGGTAGGCTTGCAGAGAACTCTAGCGCATTATTTGAACATATCATTCTGTTAATTTTATTTCCAGCACATCAAATAGGATGAGCGCGTAGCAACAGATACTCGAACAATTTAAGTGACTTGCTGAAGGCCACAGAGTTAATGAATAATACAGCTGGAACTCCAGCTGGAGTCTTTTTTTTTTTTTTTTTTTTTTACTAAAAATGTAATGTTTCTTTTCTGTAAAACATTCATTCTTGACTCCCAAATCCTCTGCACTAGGGACTTTTCTTTAGGTTAAGTGCAGTGGTATATCTCTAGAAGATCTTTGTTCAAGTTGAAGTTTACTGGGGAGATGTTGTGCATTAAGCCCCAAACAAGTATTAACCATTGGAAAGAAAAATTAGAAGTCCAATGAGATGAGATGCAATATAGGTCATTTTTTATAGTAAAAAACGGAAGGTCCACAAACAGAGCACTGCTTTTGTTTGAGAAATTGGGATCAGCCTGGTAATGCCACAGATGGCACATAGGTCTGGAGAGCAGAGCACAGAGGCTCCGGAGACTGCCTCTGGGAGATGAAGGAACTGGTATAGTGAATGGATCTGAGGTTAAGTGAATGGAGCTGAGAGCAGAGAGCAATGCTTACTTGTTTTGTTAAAAAATCACATGTATTTTTATTGAGACAAGTGATTTGATTTGAAAAAAGATGCTTTCTCTTTGGCCAATCAAAAAGTCATGGGGATATAGAGTACAGCCTAGGGAATTTAGTCAATAATGTAATAACTGTGTATTGTGCCAGGTGGTTACTGGAAATATTGGGAGGAACACTTTGTACAGTATATGATTGTCTGCCATTTTGCTGTATTCCTAAAAACTCACACAAAATAATCCTACCTAATAAAAGAGTAATATACAAATTGACCATCACTCCAACACAAGATGGTTGTGCCCATGTGGTCAAAGATGGCTGCCCCATGTGGACAAAAGATGGCCAGCAGGGGAAGCAGTTGGGAAGGATCAGGCCTGCAAGGGAGGGCAATTAGGGGTGACCAGACCAGCAAAGGAGGGAAGTTGGGGGCAACCAGGCCTGCAGGGAAGAGCAGTTGGGGGAGACCAGACCTGCAGGGGAGAGCAGTTGGGGGAGACCAGGCCTGCAGGGGAGAGCAGTTGTGGAGGACTAACCCTGCAGGAGAGGGCATTTAGGATTGACTAGGCCTGCAGGGGAGGGCAGTTAGGGGCAAACAGCCTGGCAGGGGAACAGTTAAGCATCAATCAGGCTGTCAAGGGAGTGGTTAGGGGGCAATCAGGCAGGGAGACAGGCAAGCAGTTGTTAACCAGCAGTCCTGGATTGTGAGAGGGATGTCCGACTGTCCGTTTAAGCCCAAACCTGATAGTTGGATTGGAGAGGGTGCAGGCTGAGCTGAGGGGTCCAGATTGGAGAGGGTGCAGGCTGGGCTGAGGGACAACCCCCCTCCTCCATTCACAAATTTTGTGCACTGGGCTTCTAGTATTGAACATAAACTGCAATTTTGAATTCTTTAAAAAAAACATTCTAATCATTCAAATGTTCAATGTGATACATATTTTAAAATATTATTTTCTAGACAATTGGGGATTTCTACCAAAGTCATGCAAAAGGAAATAAGAAGGCCACTGTAAATGTGCATCCCTTCCTTGTTCCCTTCTTGCCAAGACACACAGGTCTAGACACTAAAGGTGAATATATTCCTTGAGAAAAATCAAGGCCTGCCCTCCTTCCATCCCCTAGGACTTCAAGTGCCCAATAGAGGGTTCCCTGCTGGAGTGTTGTGTTTACTGATTTGGGAGCCAGTGCTGAGAATTTTATTCTGTGTCCAGGGGTGCCTGAAAGAGACATTTGAGCTCCAAAGTTGACAAATGAAGGCTTCAGACCCAGTCACCTCAGGTAACCAAGCGCTTGTTCAAGAAAAGCCAGATGAAGAGCTAAAATGTAGTGCCTTCTAACTGCATCATCACTTTACTCCTTGATATCAAAACCTCTTTCCATTAAGATGCTAACAGTTGATAAAAAGCCCAGATTAGGTTTTGCTCAGAGAAAGTCTAAGTTAATGTCAAGCTCCCTTGGATTTCTGTCTCCTTATTTTCAGAAAACTCTCCAGAGACAGAAAGTGTAAGACTATGAATAAGCTATTCAGTGAGGAGAGGCTGGGACAGTTAAATAAAAATGCTTTTATGTATGTAAAGTATTATGAAGGCTGATTAAAACAGCAGGGTAGTGGTTGCCAGAGGGAAGTTGTTGGGGGAAGAAGCAGTGTCCTAATATATGGTGACAGGAGATTTGACTTTGAGTGGTAGCTTGGTGCAATATACAGATCTCATAACAGAGAAACCCACACCTGAAACCTATATGCTCATGTTGACCGATATCACCAACATTTTTTAATAAAGAAAGAAAAATTAGTACAAAAAAGAGACTGATTAAGATAATAAGGTTTGTGTTTTAATTTCAGTTATAGATTTAATTTTAATTTCATTTTTAAATATATTTTCTTATTGATTCCAGAGAGAAAGGCAGAGGGAGAAAAAGATAAAAAACATCAGTGATGAGAATGAATCATTGATCCGTTGTCTCCTGCATGTCTCACACTGGAGATCAAGTCTGCAACCTAGACATGTGCCCTGACAGGGATTCAAACCATGACCTCCTGTTTCATAGGTTGATTCTTATCCACTGAGCAATACCAGCGGGGCTATTTAAAATTTTGAACCAATTTTCAGCTCAGCTCACCAAATTTCCAGCAATAACTTGGCATTTAATAAGCTAGTAAGGCCAATTTGTTTGAGGATAGAACCTTTTTATTTTATTTTCTTTTTCTCAGTTTGAACATTTTGTTCTCATATATTTTCTTAAGCAATAAATAGAGAGATCAATTTAGTTATTGTGTAGAAGAGTGAGATGGAGAACTTTCTGTAACATGAAATCAACTTTTATTTAACCAATATTTATTGAG